CGAGCACCCCACTCAGAGCTGGGCGAGTGCCACAGGGCACAGCCACGTGCCTGGCACACAGGGTGAAACGGGCAGGCCTCCAGGGCTGCCAGGGCTCACGCGAGAGCAGGGGCTGGGCACCGAGAGCGTGACTGTTCCCACACAGGCACAACAGGAACTGCTAACCCAGAAGTGATGCTCTGGGCTGCCGTCAGGGAGGTGATCTGTGCTGACCCCGGGTCAGGCAGGCTGCAGGGCATGTGCTGTGCTGGGTGTGCTGGGGGAGGGGAAAACAAAAGGATGTCCTATTTCTGCAGAGGGAAGACTGCATGAAAGATCTCTAAATGGAGATCTGCTCTGGGAATCCATTCATTCTTCACCCTCAAGCTGCCACCACCACCCCCACAGCCTGTGCACTGAGCCCTTGTGGGCTACACACTGGGTCCTACTTTGTCATGTGCTGTCTTATTTAACCCAGCTAAAATCCCATGAGGAAGGACTATTTATTATCTCCATTCCATGGATGAGTAAACTGAGGCTTAAAGAGTTTAAGAAATTGGAGCCAGTGCTGTGGAGTACTAGGCTAAGCCTCCACCTGCAGGGACAGCATCCCATATGGGTGCCAGTGTGAGTCCTGGCTGCCCCTCTTCTGAGCCAACTCTCTGCTGTGGCCTGGGAAAGCAGTGGAAGATGGCCCAAATCCTTGGGCCCCTGCACCTGCCTGGGAGACCTGGAAGAAGCTCCTGGCTCCTGGCTTCAGATCAGCCCAGCTCTGGCTATTGTGGCTATATGAGGAGTGAACCAGCAAATGGGGGACCTTTCGCTGTCTCTCCCTCTCTCTGGTAACTCTGCCTCTCAAATACATACATAAATCTTAAAAAAAAAAATTCATGCTCTCTTTTTAAAAAAAGTTCAAGAAACTGACAGCAAGTTACACAGCTCTCCAATGGTGGGTCCAGTATGGAAACCCAAGCCCCAGCACCCGGAGTCTGCACCCCTAACCATGAAGTTGCCTTGCTTTCCATACCTAACCACAAATTCCTCTTTGTCACAAGGTAAGGCTTTCTAGCCTGTGAATGTTACAGGCAGGATGAAGCCAAGAGAACAGACCATGCCTTCTCCAGGGTTAGGGAACATAAACTTTTCCAAAAATCAGAACAAAGACGGCCTGCGTGCCTGCAGGACAAAGCTGACTCCCTCCCCTCTGCAATGCCCTTGATCTTGATGCATGAGAAGCACTCGAAGATGTCAGAGGTGCCATGCACAGCAGCACTCCCGACCCCGACCGGCAGGCATGCGGACGCTGGATGGGAAAGCATGTAGACTGCATGTGCCCACGCAGAGCTTCGGCCCACAACGCCAGGGAAAGTAAGAGAAATCCTCTTGCCTCAGTGGGACCTGCCACAATCCCAGACCCAGCAGCAGGGAATGCCCCTCCTCCACTACTCGACACGGCAAAGGTGCACAGAGTTCTCTTGCACCCCTATCCCCTTGTGCCACCCACTTAGGCCCTCCTCGGCCCTTGGGAGACCCCCTGGAAGGGCTTCACATTACTCTCTGAGCAGCCTCCATCATAACCCAGTGTTCACGCTCACGTGTCTGTTCTCTGAAAGCGAACCTTCTTAATTCTCAGTTGAGTATGGGCCTGACAGTGGCAGGACACCCCCAAGCTATTCAAAGAAAAACCACCAGAGGAGACAATTTCAAATCTGGCTTTACAAGCATGGGGTTTAAAAATAACTCTGCCTTTGTCTGCTATAGATGACTTTCCCTGAAGGGACGCCTGTCCTTAAAGCAATCACTCAATCTGCAGGGCAAACAGATTCATTTTCCACCCCAACACACACCTCCAGGAGGGCTGCCCCAAGCACCACCTCTGACAGCAGCTGAAATGCAAACCACAGAGGCATCAGAAGGACTCCTGCATCTCAGCTGGCCGGGAGCCTCCAGGACACTGCCCCACGGATGGCTGAGAAACCCCACGGGTTAGCTACGGCACCCAGGAACCACCTGCTCTTCTCCGTTCATGAAGATGTCGGCCCAGAAAGCTTGGCAACCATGCCACAGCCGCATCGGGGTTCAGTGGATACCTGGAATCTCTCGTAAGGAAGTCTATACTTCTGCAAATGCTAGATCTGTTCTTCCATAGATAGCTAGGAGATTGGGGCTGGGGAGCAGTGGTGGTCAACAGTGTGAGAATTCACAGGGACACTCATTCCAGGACTCCCTTGGGGAAGACCTAGAAATGCAGAATTTAGCATCTCCTGGCTTCACTTCCCTTCAACCAGATAAGGAGCACTGGCCCCAAACACTACTACTATAACTCAAAAGATGCCTGCTGAGCAAACAGCCCCAGACCAATGTTTGGTAAATTGCTCAGTAATTACCTCCTGATTAGACTGATGATTTAGTTTTATTTTGTTGCTTCTCAGCAACTTAGTATCTCCTGACCTTCCCCAGTGTTTTGCCATAAAGCATCCCAAGAGCTAAAATGCCTCTTTTTGCATGGCAGGATCCAGATTTAAGTCCTGATGCCATAGCCCGGGCTGAAGGTCTTGATCAATGTTTTTCAACGGGGGAGGAGGGGCTGACTTTACTCCCAGGGTACACTTGGCAGTGACTACAGAGAGGTTCACTCCTCCTGCTCGGGGAGGGGCATTACTACTGTCAGGGGAGGAGGTGGGGCAAAGGCCGGGATGTTGCCAAATATCCTGCAATGCACAGGGCAGTGTCCCACAGCAAGACTCGCCCAAGGCATTACTAGCGTCAAGGCTGACAAATCCTGATTGAGACTGAAATTATACAATTTCCAGAACATTCAAGGCTACATCTGTGCTCTTTCCTTCTGAGGACTTCTGTTCCTCAGGATTAACTTGGAACTTCTATTCTGGTCACTCCTGCGAGCCACAGAGAAGAACCAAGAACGCTCTCCTGTTTCAGGTTTGCTTGTGCTACACACCCATGAGGTTGACTTAGGATTTCCTTCTGCATGATCATCTTCAAAGCGGCCGACCCCGTATGAAGAGCAGAGTGTGGTTTGCTCTGCTCAGCGTCTGAAGAAGAGCGTTGACTTCTTGTCCCTTTTATCAGGACTCTGAGTTTCCAATTCAAAGATGAAAATTATTTTCCAGTATGTTCTCACTATTTGAATAAAAACATTTAAATGAAGAGTTCATTTCCAGAGCTCAGTGGCCCTCTGGATCCTAGCACAGCAGGGGTTCTCCGCTCTGGATTCCAACTCTAATCAGGGCCTCCCAAGCTTCTGAGTCACTGGTCCACACTGACTCTAACAAGCGCTGACAAATGACTTCTAAAGGAGGCTCAAATCCCCAGACCTCCGTGTCTGGCTCTCAGTAAAAATGCCTCAAGCCAGAAAGTGGTGGGTAAAATCGTGTGGTGGCTCTCTGCAGAAGGGGGGTGTTAGACGGCATCCAGCGACTGCAGGAAGCTATTACTGAAATAGATGACCATGGCTGCTCTCCCTAACAGGACACCCAGGGCCAGTCCTTTGACCCTTCACACATATTATCTCTGATCTCCCCAACAACAGAGCAAACAGAAGGCATATCCTCCTACACGGAGGGGGACTGAGGCTCCAAGAGCTTAGGTCACTTTCTGAGGTCACAGGGCTACAGAGTGGGGAGCCTCAGGGCACTGTGGAATGCCCGGGGCACAAATACGTCCACTCTCTGGGATTCTGTTCCCTTCTCCCTGGGTTGCTTTCTGACTTTAAGGGTCATTTACTTTGCAGGCAAAAAAACGGGAGACAGTGGCACTGTACATTCTCAACAGCAGGGTCCAGGTTCCCAGAAGGAACTGTTCACCCAAGTTTCTGCAGCCTCCAGGGGTGGCTGCAGGTTACGACTTAATTCCGTTCCAGCCAGCGGCCTTGAGTTATAAATCAAAGTAGATTTTGGACAAGAGGCAAGAGAGACTGGAAAGCAAAGAGAACTTCAACTCCCATACTAACTTGTCAGGGTGTGTGTGTGTGTGTGTGGTTCTCTTCCTCCTTCACATATTTCCTTCCACTTAAATCACACTGTGCGTGTCACAGGAATTTCTACGTCAGGCAGGACACGGAGTGCAGGCACAAGTTCCAGCACAAGTCTCGCATTGTCCTGCTTTCCGTCTTCCCCTGCAGCTCAGGCGCTCGCCGTGGCGACCTTCCTGACAATTTATCTGGCTGGACCTTTGTTCCTGGTTGCCTGTGCACATGAAATGGTCTTTTTTCCTGATCGTTTTGTCCTACAGGGTGCTACAGGCATGGCTCCTGAGCTGCTCCCGTCTGTGTTTCGATCTGAGGGCTCAGATGGAAGGTTTTGAAGGACCGGTCATTTCGGGTGATGTTTTTCTCTAATATTTCAACATCACTTACAGCGCCTCTGCAGCTTTGCAGGCTCTGGTAAAGACGGATTAAAGTGATGGACAGATAAAAATGAAATATGGATATATGAACAGTGCGGCTTTATAGGAATAACGACAAGACAGAGATGGGGTCTGGCAAAGAGAAAGACTGCTGAGCCACGGTTAATAGACAGCCTGCTTTTCGATTCTGTTTTTTGGTCCACGACAAAACAAGACGGATGAGAAAAGTACCTGCCCCATAGCCCTACCCACACTGCATTTGCCCCTTAGACCACAGAGGAAAGAACGCAGGGGAGGCCAGCCCTGTGCAGAGTTTACCCAGACTGCCCAGCGAGAGGAGATGTGACGGTCGCTTGAATCATCCAGATCCTTAGAGGCAGGCTGGATTTTTTAATCTGCAGCCCTTTAACCAGCCGCATCAGAACGCCACAGGGAACTGGTTAACAATGCGCACCCCTGGGCCCTCATCCCAGACCTGAACAGTCGGAATTTGCAGGAGCAGATGCACAGACTCTCAGGGGTTTTACAGACACGCAGCTGGGCACTGTGGATGCTCACTGAGGCGGGCGGGCCCATCCCCTCTTAAAGCACACGCCAGGAGCCCCCTAGGTACACAGGGTTATGCCAACACCTCCCCCTCGCCCTGGAGAGTTTACCTGGTCTGATGGGGTTCTGCATGCAGTTGGGAGACGGGATGCCAGGGTGAATGGGTGCGGAGGCCCGGCTGCTGAGGTCCATGACCGAGGGGGCAGCCGCGGGGGCCGGCTGCAGCCCGGCGGGGTGGGGGCTGTGGTCCTGCTGGGACGGGCTGGGGGGAATGCCATTTTCTGACAGGAACTCCTCCAGGTCCATGTATTCCAGCTGGAAGGTATCTCCGTCATAGGGGAGGGTTTTGTCCCATAAGGTGGGCCCCAAAAACGCCGACTGCGGGACCGTCGGGCTGCCGCTCTCATCGTCCAGCTTCTTCTCCTTGTCTTTCTCTTTACCAAAGGCTGCAGAAGAGAGGCAAGGGGGACTTTTAAACAAAGAGAAAAAGAGAGCGCCCAAGAGTACACCCTTCCAGGACCCTGCGACAAAACCACCTCTCGGGAACGCCAGGGGCCTTCGCTGGCTGCTGGCTTTTGCGGATCTAGAGTTAAAAGTTCAGGCAGGACATGAATCGGAGGCTGTTTTTCAACATCTTCCTATTTACTTTGGAAAGAAAGCACCAGCTTGTGGGATGGGGCTACAGGCTGATCGAGGATAACAACAAGACAGCAAGCCTCTGCACTGCGTGAGGAGACAAATCACTCAACCTAAGCTGGGCAGAGAACACGTGCACATACACGCATACAAGAAAGCAGCCAACAGCCAGGCTGGGCCTATCACTCGGGAAGTTTATCACAGGCCCTCAGACTCACCCACGCCAGCGAGCTGGGGACCTTAATTCTGCTAAAGCAGGCACTCCCCATCTTTCTCCACTACCGTGTATTGACACCTACTACGTGCCTGGTTCTTTCCTCCGCTTGTATGTCAAACCGCTCCCAGGAAACCTGCAAAAACAGTCATCGTCCACATGCATAGTGAAGACAGCCGCCGAGCTGCTGAGACGTGGAGGAATTTGACTCACACCTCACACTGGCAGAAAAGAAAAATGAGAACTCTCTGAGCCCACGTGTAGCTGCTTCCACAGCCACGGGACACACTGTTTTGTTTTACCAGAGTACAAAGGAAAAAACTTTCTTCCCCGTTTTCTCCAAATACTTAAGAAGGATCCAGTTCATAAAAATCACACTTCTGTGCGACCTGTCGAAAGCAGAGCTGTGGGACAAGGAGCGACTGGACATACCCAGGAGAACCGCTCACTCTCTAGGGCTTCAACAGGAGCTCCGGACTTGGCCAATTCCAACCCTCCGGCGTGGGGTGAATCTGGGGCTACTGAATTATTTGCTTCTGAGCTTCCTCCCCAGAAAACAGCCTCCTCTGCCACCCCTTGGAACCGTCTCCAATCTCACCTGAGCTTCGACACCCACAGAGGCCAAAAGGCTAGGGGCTGTGACGTGCAGCCCCCGCAACCCGACACCCCAAACTCCACCTGCACCGCAACAGGTGACCCCCGCCCAAGCCGTCTGCAGCCAAGTGCTCTCTCCTCAGAGGAGTGGGCACCATTCGCATTCGAGACCGACTTCCCAGAAGGCTTGAAGCCGGCCTCAAGGACAACCCTGCAGCGGCCCCAGCTCAGTCCCGCACCTCCCGCGCCACAGCCAAGGTCGCCTGGGGAAGGGGCCGGTGCTTACCGGGAAAGGGGCTCAGGCCAGAGGAGAGGCTCCCGCGAGCTCCCACGTGAGCCCTCCCACCGGGACGAGCGCACGGGGAAAAGTGTCGGCACCGGAGGCGGGCACGGCCCTCGCGCGCGGAGACCACTCCCCCCAAGCCGCCTGCCGCCCCGGCCCCCGCCCCGCGCCCAGCTCCCCTGCAGCGGGGGCGAACGCAGCTCGGCGGGCAGGCACCGCATGCACCGCGAACACCGTGCAGGAGGAACAGCAGCAGCCCCAGGCCTCCGCAGAAGCTGGCCCTCGGCGTCTCCTCCCCAGCCCGGCTGGGGGCTCCGGGCGCCCGCCGCCGGGCCCGCTGGGGTTGCCTCCCACCTGCGCCGCAGGGGCGCGCCCCGGGAGGCCAGACCAGGTCCCCCTGGCTATTTTAAACCCTGCCCAGGAGGGGTCCCCCCTCGTCGTGGAGGAGGGGGGAGAGGGAGGAGGAGGAAGAGGAGGCAGGGTGCAGGGTGCGCTCGTCGGCGTCCCTGCGGGGCAGGCACGGAGGGGGATGGGGCCCGGCCCAGGCGGGGGCCCCCAGGGGCGACGCCCCTTCCCAGAGCCCGGCCGCCGCGAGGGGCAGCGCTCACCGTCTTCGTGGAGGGGGAGCTTCAGCGGGTTCTCCAGCAGGGACCTGAGCACGCCGTAGGGAGGCGGGATAAAGGTGGGGTTCAGGGGGAGCTGGCGGGGCATTTTCTCCATCTCGATGCACTCAATTTTTTTTTTCTTTAAGAAAATAAAATAAAATCGCCCTCCCCCCCTCCCCAAGTCCAAATGTGGCCAGCGTTTTCCTCTGGCCTTGGCCGAAAGTGCTCGCTTTCAAGGCGGTAGAGATAAGGGAAGGAAAAAAAAAAATAAAATTACTTCTATCTTGATAAATACATCTGAATTTTAAGATATTTAGGAAAAAAAAAAACTTTCGGGGCCGCGGTGCAGGCGGTCCCAGGGGGGCTCGCCAGGGGCCAGCGGGCTCCCCGGCGACGCGCAAGATGCTCACCTGCCGCGAGCCCCTCGTCCCGCACAAATGTTCAAAACCGCCAAAAAGAAGGGGGGCACTCGCCGGCGGCGGCAGCAGGGCGCTAGGCACCGCGCCCGCCGCGGCCCCGCGCGCCAGCACCCGAGGCGGCCCCGCGGCCCACCCCACCCCCCTCCCCGCGCCGGCGGCCGCTGCTCCCCCGCGCTCGGCGGCCCCGCAGCGCCGGGCTCAGCGCATCCGGCCGTCCATGTGCCGCGGCCCTGACAAGAGTGACGTCAGGGCCCGCACCGCGCGCCGATAGGCGTGCGGGGGCGTGGCTACGCGCCGCCCCGCCCGCCGCCCGCCCTCGCCGCCCGCCCCTCGGCCGCGTGTTTAGCGTCGTCGCGCGCGCGCGGATTTCCCAGGACCTTGCTGAGCTGGCGGGCTGGTTGCGATGGAGCAAGTGCCGGATTCCTTGGGCCGTCAACCTGGGCTCAGACTCCATTTTTTTTTTTTTTTAATTTGGTTGGAAAGAGGACTAAAGAGTTTATATCAGTACCTTTGCAACCGGAGAACTGGGGAGTTAATAAAAGATTAAAAAAATAAAAAAAAACTATGCCCAGGCCGCACCCCAGATCCAAGAAGTGAGGATTTCTGGGGGTGATTTCCAGACATCAATAGTTGAGGTACCCCGGGAGCAGCCAAGTTTGAGAATGACCGGTTTAGATGGAATTTGCGATAAACGCTCTCTAGGTCCCCCTCGGCCTGTTCGCACAACCACCAGAAATTAGCTGGAGCTGCGGGATGCAGAGGGCGCGGGGAGAGGCGGCGGGTGCGGCTGCGCGGCGTTTCCTTCGCGGTCGGGGCCGCTCTCGTGGTTTACGCGTTTGTCCGCGGTGGGGTGAGGGCGCGAGGCGGACACACGCGGTGAACAGGGCCTTGGGACTATGTTCTCCACACGGGGCACAGGTGCTGGGGATGACGGCTCCTTACAGGAGCGGCGTGGTTCCGGAGACTCCCCTCGCGCGGCGTGCGCTCCGGCGTGCAGGCGAGACGCTCTTCCCGCGGGCCGTGGGGGCCCGAGTCGGCGTTGGCACCTCCGGGGGGCGGCCCAGAGCGCTCTAGTGGCCCGGCGGGGTCTTCCCCTCCCTCCTGCATCTCCTAAGACTTGGAAGGACCGTGGCTTGTCGTGGGCAAGGGTGCGCTAGAATGAACGGGCACGACTTAAAGCAAACCTCCGTTCAAGGAGGCACGGCAGCCTTTATAAGCCGGGCTGAATCCTCGGGGCGGGGCGTAGTGGAGTCTTGCAGGGAGGTTCCCTCCCGGAGACCCCCAGAAGGGCCGTGGAAGAGAGGCGGCGCCCCTAACCCGGAACCCCGCGGGGCTGCGAGGGAGCCCGAGGTGTCCCAGGCTGGATGATCCTGGCGCTACCTTTCCTCTCCCGCCATGAAAGCTCAGGGGCTCTGGGGACCTCCACCGGTCTCCCTCACTGGGACACTGGAACAGAAGGCTAAGGTGGCATTCTAAGAGAGATGCCCCTTGGAATGTTTCGGATTTTAGCCACATTCCCGAAACTGTCAGACTTCTTGTCGTTGCCACACGGGTTTTATCGAGTGCCACTGGGTGCCAGCGACTATGCTAGGACAGGTGAGAAGTCCCAAAACGGCAGAATTCTAACTCTCAGGAACTCACGGTCTGGGGCCTGAGTGTGTAAGCAAACAGCCTAATCTTAGAAGAGCAGTAAGGGATGGGAGTGAGGTGGTATTTATATTGGGAGAGGGATTCCAGACATGTCTGAGCTGTAGCTTGGAGTTAATGGTCTTTCCCTCCATTCTAGGAAACAAGGGTCTCGCCCTCCACCATCCTTTTGTATGGGGGAGCAACGATCTCCCTGACTTGATTCACCGCCCCACACCCGTGTAGACCCTTGAGCTGGTTACAAAGAGATGACAGATTCCAGGTGCACAAAAGGATGCGGGAGGGAGGCTCTGACAGCAGTCTATTAGCTGCTCAGCACGAGCTGGATGCCGCACCAGTTCAGGGTTCAGTGCACACCCTCCCTGCCCAGCATCCGGCTCGGGAAGCCCTCCCTCAGCAGTTCACGTCACGTCATCTAACTTCCCTACTGAGAGCGTCCAAAGCCATGAGTTGGGGATTCAAGTGGTGTCCTGGTTGGCCCACCCTTCTCTCGGGAATTTGGTTCCTATAATTCAGTTCTCCTGAGCCCGATCAACTCTGAATATGGGCCAGATTAAGACCCAGTTCCTTAGACCATTGTGACTTCCTCTCTCTTCTCTCCAGCTCTCAGCTTTCTCCACTGCGAATGTATTTGCTAGAGTTAAGAATCATAAGCATTGACTAGTCTTCAGACTAATCCCATGCCTTCCCAAGATCAATGAAATTGTAGATCTTCCCTACTCTGGCTAAGTGGCCATTTTTTTTTAAATCTTTATCTATTTTTCATTAAACTATGAAAAACTCCCCCACTCCTGTCTTTCCCAGGATCAGTGGTGGTGGCTGCCCACGTTAAGAGGGAGGAGGGAGGCAGAGAAACCAAAGGTTATTCAGTTGGATAGAAGACCCTCCGAATCCACAGGCTGAATCTCACAGTAACATTCCTCAGCAAATGAGCACAAACTCAACTTGCGCAAACAGCCAGAAATAAAGCTTAGCTCCTGAGCTTTCTCAAACGTCATATCCCTTGGTCCTGACAATTGCATGAGAAGAGCATGACTCCAGTTTCCTATTGCTGCATCCCTCCAAAACGCAGGGACTTGCACATAACAGCCATGTTATTATGCCTCCTTGTTCTGCAGTCTGGGTCAGGCTCAGCTGGGATCTGGGGCTGCCTGACCTCCTGTTCTCTGCTGCATGATGTCAAATCTCTCCATTTTCACAAAGGCTCACTTACATGTGATCTCTTGCTCTGGTTCCTCCAGCAGAGGAGTGAGACTTACAGCAGTCCTCGCTCATCAGACCTTTGCCTGTGGATGTTCCACTGGCCAAAGCAAGGCACATGGCCACCCCTTGCTCAGCTGGGAAGGGATTGCACAAGGGCATGGAAGCTGGGTGGCATGGCTTATTGTGTGTGTGTGTGGGGGGGGGTGTTACCAAAGCAATCATCCACTTCTGTCAGTCAGTTATTTTATCTCCAGATGAGGGCAAATGACATCAGCGAATTTATCCAACATCACTGGCACCCAGATTTTGTAGGTGTTAAGTCCAGTGTGTCACTGGTTGACTATCAGCCCCCCTAGTCACCCATTCATTCATTCACTGCTAGCTCAAAGTGCTTACACGTAATGCTGAGTCTGTCTCAGAGACAGGCAGTGCCAGTCCAGGTAAGGATAGGCCATTTGTAATCACAACCCAGTGCTGAAGGTGATGGCGTAAGAAAAACAAAGAATGCTGAAAGGGCTTGGAAGATGAAGAGGTTTGTTTAGAGAAGAATCTTTGCATATGTCTACCAATTTCCTTTCCCTATGTCTTTACCAGTGCCAGTCCTACCCCGCCTCCCTGACTCCTACATGTACTAGCACTGTGCGTGATCGTGGAGTCTCCACTGCCAGGTAAGGGCAGGTAGGGTGGGAAGAATCACTGTGTTCCTAAAGTTGCATTTATGAAGTGCATGAAGATTGTAGACCTTGAAAGGTTTCTGGGTAAAAAAGAAAACACGATGCATGCTGAATCTCTGGTGTGAGAAGCCTTCTGTTGGGTCTTCATGGAGAGACATGGCAGAGGCTCTAGAGGCAGAACCATCCCCGGATAGGGCTGAGCACAGAGAGAGAGAGACTTCTCAGAATCAGTCTCTGCAAAGAAGGCAGCACTGCCCTGTTCCCTGCAGCAGCTCTAGAAAGCAGCCTGTTGCCCAGACAGTGATTTCCACCTGTGCTGTCATTCCAGGAAGGTTGGGCAGGGAAGTCTTTTGCCAGCCATTGTGGCGCTAACCTGAATGTGTGTAGAAAGATCTTGGCAGCGTAAGAAGTGTCTGAGTTTCAGATTCCCAATGGGTGTGGAACCTTGTTGAGCACACAATACCTGCCCCTGTGCCCTGCTGGGGGCTGGGAGCCTGGGATGCATGGAGAAGAAGTGCTGTGGTTAGGAAGGGCTTTGTGTGCCAGGGTGCTAAACCTTGAGGTGAACTTGTTTGTCTTGTTGCCAGAAAGGGCACTTTATCCGGGGAATTAATTCAGAACTGAAAGTCTTCACAGGAGAGTTCAGCTGGGTACGCCTAACCCAGGCTTGTCCCTGCTCCACTACCTGAAACTTCTAACTCAGCTGAAACACCAAAAAGAAAAATTATATTTAATTAGCTTAACTCCTGGAGACCCCTAAATCTGTTCCCGTGGTGCAGGAACGTGCAAACCAAACACAATAAAACATTTGCTGGGAATGCCGAGCTCTCATCCAAGGGATGCCTCGGGGGAAGGACTGTGGCCAGGCTCCCCTCCCTTCTCCTCCTCCTCCTCCTGCCCTGCAATGCTCTGCTCAGTGGGAGTGGGAGGTGTAAGAGGCACTAAATCACACATGTATATGTGTGTTTAAAATCAGAGGCGGATAGGATTTATGTTTGTGTGGTAGAAAAGAGTATGAAACAAAACTGCGTAGAAGAGAAAGAAGAAATATAGGTGGCCAAAGGAGAGGGAAAAGGCAGTGAGCGTGTGTTGCAAGAGAGAAAGTCCAGGGCCAGACCTCGCTTAGTACCTGCTACTACCACTGCTACAGATAACAACAACAGAAAGAAGGAAAGGATGGCAGATTTATTGTGTGTTTGTGTTTTAGCACAGTGTTAAACCTTTTGAACATGCTGTCTCATTTATTGCTAGGAATAGTGATACAGAGTGCGCGGCACGGTCATCCTCATTTGGCAACATGAATAACTGGCTGTGGTTCTAGGGCTCGCTAGCACACGGACAAGCAATGAGTTGAGAGCAGCTCTGCTTGACTTTGAGGCTTCTGCTCATGACCTCCATCCAGTAAATGAATGACAAACATCCATTCAGTAAACTCACTGGGTTTCCAGCTGATTTCAAATTCTGCCTGTGTCCTGTGACCTTGGATAACCTCTCTGAGCCCAGTTTTTTTGTGTGTGAAATACAACTAGTGCATGTGTTTCCCAGCTCACATCATCACTAGGAAGAGAGGAGTTGAGTTGTAGAGGACTAAGCAGCTGTGAGGGCTTGTTATTTGGGGAATTTCACATTTCATGGT